CGAACTGAAGAACTGCAGTCAGCTGAAGTAGCCTGCAGTGCTGCATTTAACCACTGTGCCACCTCGGCTCTAAATTTATTTATCTATATTTGGTCAAATAAATTCCCTCTCTCTCCTTGCAGCTTATAGAAGCAAGAAATACTGATATATCTAGATTCATTTGATAGGGTATACCTGCTTCCTTGAAAAAAATAATAATCTAAAGATGAAGAATGTTCCTGAATCCTACTTATTTTATTATAACTGACCACAAGTTGGCAAAAGGGAATTTATTTGAAAGATGGGTGACCTTTCCTGCTGATTGTGACAGGATGTAATCCCCAAACCCAAACAGACAGCCTACCTGTGTGAGTTCTTACATGCGTTTTCAGCTGGTTGCACTGGGTAAACGCCTTGCCGCAGAGCTGGCACACGTACGGTTTGACTCCCTTGTGAATCCGCATGTGTCGCCTCAGGCTACTGGATTCCGAAAATACCTTCCCACATGTATTACACACTGGCTTGGCCTTGGGGTATTTCTGATCCAGGTCTTCTCCCGAGCTCTCCAACTGATAGGAGTTCTTGTCACTGGTAATGTTAGATAAGCAGTGCTCTTTCAAAGCACAATTTTGATGTGGTTTGCCTTGTTTTGGCTTCACAGCCATAGTCTGCACAAGGATTTCTTGAGCGGCAAAAGTTTCACTCTCCACCACAGGGGTAAGTTGCAGTTCAGAATTATCGCCACCTTGGGCAGCTTGTTCTGTTATCTCGGTGGCCAATTTATTTGCGTCTAAAAACATCTCCATGGCAGAGTTTTCTGCAACATCACCTGTATATTGTACTGGCTTGCTCGGTGGGTGTTTGGGGGAACTGAAGGCCTTTTTCCGTTTTTTGGGTTGGACAGATTTTTTTTCCAAGGCTGCTGTTAAGACTGGAGATGGAGCTATATCCACTGAAGGGGCATCTGATTTCTCCTGGTTATTGTAGTCACGAAGTGTTAGCAGGCAAGTCTGTTGGTTCAATGCAATATTCCCAGTGATACTAGAAATTTCTGTAGAAGAAGGATTAGCAATAAAAGCAAAATCTTCCATTTTAATTTTACATTTAGTGACTACTTCCTCCACTTTAAGATAGTCGGCAGCCTGGTGAATTTCTTTAACATTCCAACTGCAAGAAAAATATACATGAAGAAAACTGATGGTCTTAAAAACGCACGAATGTTAAATTGAGAAAACAGATACAATTTTTAAACAAGATTTTAAAAAAATCTAGATCAGAAATAAGCCTTATAATATGCTCCCTTTCCTTTTTTTTGAAATGGCCATAAAATCACAAAAATAAGCATCAACCATAAAAATTATGTCACTGCTATATAATCCCATTTTACCAATCAACTCCCCTGAACTATGTAGTCTAACACTGTTATTCAGACTGATCAAATCTGACTTTGGACTTTAGCTGGCACAGAGTGTATCACAACAGAAGTATTGCCACATAAAAATATGGTAAATATTAAGAGATGAGATCCAATGCTTAGATGGATCACTGGGCAAATTCTAGGAAAATGTTGAAGTCAGTTTAGCCTACAAAAATGCCACCATCAATTTTTATATATCACCAAGTGATACTAACTGAATTATTCCTTCAGTCACCTCTGTGAGAGGCAGAGTGATGAAGTGATTCAAGTATTTGGACTAGAAGTGGGTAGATTCAAGTTCTCTCCACTCTCAGTCATGGAAGATCATCAGGTGATTTCAGACATCCTCACGTGGTAGTCCTCATGGGGATAAGTAGGAGGAGCAAGTACTATTGTTGGCTTCTTGAATTCCTGTACAAAGACAGGCTATAAATCTAATATCTCAATACATACCAAGCGGTATCAGTTCTAATTCCTTGTAACAAGCTGTTGTCATACAATCTGTTAAGCTGTGGCTTGTTTTGAACTTCGATCAAAAGACTTTCCTTGCTTAATAGTGATTTTTTTTAAGTACACCACTCATATAACAGAGGATTTTGTACCATGAAATGAGGAGCTTGTAAATTGGATTAAACCAATCATCATGTGACATTGCACATAATTGTCTCGCATATATTAATTTTCTCTTCTATTCCTGCCTGCTTTATTTCTGTGACATCTTAACTTACATTGTAAGTGAGAGCATTCTGTTTAGTTCTCTGTCTAGTATTTCCTTTAAACACTAAATAAATATCCAGCCATACCTATCAAGGTTTAAATCTCCTGTGTATATGAATTCCAAAAGTTTCTGAAATCCATCAGCCTTCACTTGATTCTGATCCAGAAATATATTACTCTCTGAAGTATCCCTGTAAATAGCCCAAAAGTACTCGCTAAAAGATGCAAGAACATTTCGATGAGCTTTGAACTGGAATTCACCAATAATGATGGTGCAGTCACAAAGGAAGCCCACTTCACGCTGCCTGTTCAGACTTTCCAGGAGATGCTCACAGTGATGGGAACACTGCATTTTGTGTAATGATGCACAGTTTCTTCCCTTTGGCCTGAGAAGAAAAACAAATATATAAGCATCAGGGTTCCAATAGTAGTTTCAGCAGAATAAAAGAAATAACACAAACCCACTCAAAGATTTCTCTCTGTCTACTATTTTTGTATTATTTAGACAACAGAATCTAATTATTATGAAGAAAAGCAACATGCTGAGACAAAACTAAAACTCTTTCATTCAGCAAATACAAGATCCCGGGTGCTATACACGGGTGCTATAGCTCACAAAAACATTTGCTGGGAAAAGATATTCTACATCCCTTTCCAAAACAAGCAAATTTAAATCACATCAAAAAGGAAGCAGGTTAAACATTATTTTAGAATGTAATGAGAGATTTTGAAAACTGGACTCTCTTTCGGTTTGTCAACCAGAGGCTGAATCGGATGGGTGGCCTATCAAATTTCCCTGCGTCATCAGAGCAGGTTTTGCCCACAACCCCATGCATGTATATTTGGCAGAATAAATTCAAGAAGCCAAATGTAAAGGTATATCTCAGTTGCAGAACTCAACTGAGACTCTTCCCATTTTATGCAAAGGGTATCATATGTTACTGTTCAATGCCTTTATGGAGGGATCCAGATACATAAAGGGCAGAATATGATTTGGAGTGCCAGTAGGCACAAGGACCATCTGCAATCCCCCAAAGACATCTTTAGTTTCCGGTGTTCTTAACAGGGATGCATAAAGGTAGCCTCTTCATTTATTACATCTACAGTAATAAAGAGCCTATCTTACCCCAGGATAACTCTGGGCGGCTTACAATATTAAAAAGATAAAACTACACAAATAAAACACTACAAAAAGTGTGATATGCAACCGTCACTGACAGATGGGGAGGGAGCAGGATGAGCAAGGTGGAAAGGTGGGATGTGTTATTCATCTAATCCATCTACACCAGTGGTTCCCAACCTTTTTTTGGCCATGCCCCACCTAAGCATCTCTAAAATCCTGGTCCCCCACCCTTGTGACATAGAATTCTTACTTTACTCAAAAAGTCAACTCTACTCATGGGGAGGAAGCCTAAAAGGCCACTAACTTGGTTTAAACAAGGTTCAAATTGCCCCCATTAAAAAACAAAAAATCAAATTGCATGGGCCCCACATTGGAAACCACTGATCTACACGGAGTGGAAAGTTGGACCAGGACTGGAGAGACCGAGATTCAAGGGACTCCCAATTTTCATTAAGAGAAACTCACTGGGGGATTTGGGCTTAGTTGCCCTTCCTCACCCACACAAGGCTGTTAAGGGGTTCCTCCCTGTGCAAGATGCATGGAGCCCCTAAAAACAAATATATTAGGGGGGGGGAGTTTGGGGGCAATACTGCAGAGTGGCATCTCCTGTAGGAGCAGAACACAAACTGGCACTACCATCTTTTCAGCTGTCCCTTTTGCCTGAGGGGTGGGAGGGGGAAGAGCTCCCTCTGGTTCCAAATCTGACCTCCCCCAATGCCGGCTCCCTCCTGTCACACACACACACACGCCCGCCAGCGGGGCTGCCTCCCACCCACTTCTTCTCCTCGGTCCTTCGGATTTCTCTCCAGCAAAGCCCGGGTATTCCTTCTCCTTCCTCTCCCTCCCCCCCCCGCCATCCAACCCAAATGGTTCCGTCCTAAGCCCCGCTTCCTTTTCTCTCCCTCCCTCCCTATAGAATTACTGGGCGAACACACCTGGCAGGGGTGGCAACTCGAGAGCGGAAGCCTCTTCCGCTCAGGGCGCCATTTTTTGATGACGCGAGTGGAGTCCGCCTCCTCGGTTGGTGGCGGTTCCAAGGTCACTTCCGTTCGCCGGACAATTCCAGCCAGGAAAGAGTGGCGGTTGGAATCGGGGCGGGGCTTCGTGACGTAGTTGTGGGAAAATGGGCGTTTCTCCAGCATAAACTACATTTCCCATGATGTCTAGCGCGCTAAACTATTAATTTTGAGGGCGGCTGCGAATGACTTTGTAGAGACGGATGGCGTGAGATGTATTTGTCATCTGGTCAAATGGAAATTAAGAATATTAGGATTCACTGGAATGTCTATAATACATCTAGACCGAGGTCCCAAACTTGGCAACTTGAAGACTTGTGGACGAGTTCCTCAGCAAGCTTAGCTGGCAGAGGAACTCTGGGAGTTGAAGTCCACAAATCTTCAAAAGTCCCTGGTCTAAACAAAGGAAAGGGCAATTGGCATAGCTACATAATAAAACCATTACTTTACTTTTACGCAGCCAAGTCGGAAACAAAAGTAATAAACAGTTATTTCAAAGCCGCACGGTAGCAATATTAAAACATTGAGGTGCACGTTTTTTTAAAGTTATCCTTTTCTTCCTAGGCGTTGGGAGCATGCGTAAAAATGTATTAAAAACAAATTTATTGAAACAAATTATTTGAGTCCATTTTTAAGCACTTTCTGTCCCTTATGAATAAAGTACATTAAAAAAAACTTTGAAAAAGTAACTTAATGTCTAAATAAAAGTCGTTTTGGAGATTTAAAATGTTTCCGCCCGGTTTCGAACCGGGGACCTTTCGCGTGTTAGGCGAACGTGATAACCACTACACTACGGAAACTGCTATGCCCAACGCCTTGAAATTATCTTCCTTATGCCTTTACTTTTACTATGTTAATTCATCCTCAAGCAGAATTCGAATACGGCATCATTCAAAAGTGAGACCAAATATTTATTCACAAAAAATCCAACGAATATATAGATACTGCAGCCCCAAATGAAGACTTCCCCTATCAAGTCTTGCTGCTACACATTTATAGGATAATGAGACCTAATCGGGTAATGAAATGTCTGCAAGCCAGCAACCCAGCTCAAAAAACAGCAAAGATACCACAATTCAACCCTGAGCTATATAGATTCAGAACTATAACCAGCATTTATAGTTACAATAAATAATTATTAGATTATCCTCATGTTCTTTTCTTTAAAACACAATTACTTATGACTTGATAAAAAGAAGAGATTAACTGTTATTCTGTCACTCCTTGAGGCAACTGTTGAGAATTAAAACAGTATAAAATAAGCTAAAATTGATAAGAGTTGTTATATTCTATAAAACCCTATTAATTGTAGAAAAGGACGTTGTAAGTACAGCTAGGTGGACATAAATGCCAAATTGAACACAGCGGGATTTCAGTGGTGAGCAAAAAACAAACATTGGGATAATTAAATGTAGATTCGTTTTCCATACTATCCTTTCTTTCAAGGAAGGTATATAATTACCATCTCATCCTTACTTCCACTCAATACCAGGTGAGATGATCATCAGAATGTTAAAATAATATCTACACAATATAACGTTCCCAGATTTTTCCCTCTTCTTTCTGTGGTGAAGTTAATTTAATATCTTGTTTCCTAATAAATGGAGCGCTTTCATTATGTGCAACTATCACAAAGTACCTGTTCCATCAAAGTAAATAGCACCATTACACAAGCACAACAGATGTTGTGGCAAGTGTTCCTCTCCCTCTTCAAACTTGTGGGAGTGGAAACCTCACGCCACATTTGGCAGAAAGCATAGCCTCAATTTCCATTGTTTCCTGCAATAATGTTAGGAAGAAGAAACAATGTTGTGCCAAATGAAAGATGTTGCAATTCCCCATGGCTGAACTGAGACTTAAAAGATGACACATGATATTCATTAGGATGACTCATGTGATATGCTTATTTGTTATCAAATTATTTTGTTGTGCAAGTAATTCAGTTTTCTTGGGGCATGTGGCATACTGAATTAAAAACTCACTACAAAGAACCAAACTCCCAAGAACACTCTGGGCCAGTGTTTCTCAACCTTGGCAACTTTAAGTCCTGTGGACTTCAACTCCCAGAATCCCCCAGCCTGGGAGATTCTGGGAGTTGAAGTCCACAGGACTTAAAGTCGCCAAGGTTGAGAAACACTGCTCTGGGCTAAAAGATGATTTGATGCTACTTACATGGGAGTAAATTCCATTGGCTTCAGCGGGGTTTGCTTCTAATTAAATTTGGGATGAAGAGCTAATGTGTTCCAGATTTCCTTTACAATTGTCTATGTTGGCTGAGAAAGACAGAGCTATAATTCCAAAAATTTGGAAAGCTATAGCTTTCCCCTTCCTGGTGTAATATAAAGAATTCCAATGAATGCCATTCAGTCATTGCAAAATGATTGATGGGTCCCAAGTAGAAAAAAAATAGTATTTTTGCATACCTATTATCCCACTTTTAAGTGCTAAAATGTTTTGGGCATGTTAGTGCTTGCTTACCATTCTTTGCCTTTCAAATGGAAAGATCATTATATTTCTTTGACTTTCAAGCTGGAAGAAGATTGTTTGAGTGAAGATACTTTTGTAATCTGTTTATATTGAGATATATAGACTAAATATAGAATGAAGATTTTGCTGTATTAACATACTGCTCCCCTAGGCCTGGAAGGGGAATAGCCCACCAAAGTACTTTTTTCAGGAAGAGAAGATAGTTTTGCCCTCTTCCCCAATCTCTGCTCAGACTCTATGCTTCTTAAACATTCCCTATGTTATTCTCTTGCCATTGTCTTTCTCCAAAAGCCAAATAAAAACCCACCGGAATTCATTTGTGGGTATGTTATATCACCAAATCTATTTGACCAATTGACCTTCAATCAAAATAGACCATTCCCTTTTTATCAGATCTTAAGAGGTTTTTGTTTCAAGGCACAAAAATATTTGAATCAAGACTGTAGATCAAAAAAGCTGTTCTTTGAAATCTTTTTCAGCAAATCTTGGAACCCATAACAATTGGCTGTCATGCCAGTTAGGAACTGTCACCTCAATGCCAAACTGAAGGACCCCAGGCTAGGAGAAGCAGATTTGTTTCTTTCCCTCCCCAACTTATTGGGGAGATGATTATTGGTATAACGAAAAGTATCTGTGTCCCAGAAAAATAAAGTGCTTTCAAAGAAGGTGCCACAGATCTAGCAACCTGGTTGTCAACCCAGTATTTTATTAAATACAGAGTCCTCTTCCAATGAGAAGTAAGTAATAGGTGAGATCCAAATTCAAATTATTATTATTATTATTATTATTATTATTATTATTATTATTATTATTGTTATCCTTAGCAATGCTGGGGCTGCAATTCCTGAAAGCAGCAATTCTGTGAGGGCAGCTTCCCAACTAGGCTTAGGATCTGAGTTCTCTGCCAGAAGCCTGAGAGAATTGGAAGAGGAAGGCCAGATATCATGTCCCAAAAAGTCAAGATGGTGGCTGTGACCATATGATTAAGGCTATATCTGGGTTTTTTTAATGCAATGCACTTTAAAGGCAGAGAGAACTTCCATAGCACCATTGCAACTGTTCTAGCTCTTTTGATTATAGCCTGCTGATGCTCCCATTTTATCTCTTTTTAGTGGCAGGTTGGCGCATTTAAATATTTTTTTTCCTTTTTCTGTTCCATTATCTTTGTGGATTGAAATGTTTACAGAAATTGGCTGATTTCTAGACATAAACTTCCTAGATTCACCCCTCCCCAAGTACCTATCTCATTTCAATTATTAAAATAAAAACCATTCTTATCCAAAATTAGCTCTACACACTCCACAATATCTTGGGCTCAATATCCAAAACTCCTGGGGAAGAGAAATATCCTGTTCTGCCTCAACCATCTTTTGGGTAAAAGAAGCATCTCCCCATTAAAAAATTATCTGCCGTAGTGCTTCAGGCTTAAATCACCCTAGTGAGAAATTGGAATGTTTGGAATGAGAAGTGTCAACTTGTGTTATGTGTCTGTGCCTTTGGTCAAATTTAAACAGTTTCCCATTTAAATTATACGTCCCCCGAAGAGAAAAGACTAACCACAACTGGACAGTTCTTGAACCATGAAACAGACTTCACTGAGGAATGCAGAGAAAACAGAGTCACTGTATTCATCCTATCTTATCCAACCACCTATTCAAGGCCTTGCAAAGCCTTGCTCAGAAGGTATCATAGCAACATGGAGGTCACAATAGCCTGAGCAACACCTGTCTGGAGAGATTGTTAGCCTTAATCTTTCCCCAATATAAGACAAGCCCACTGGGGGTCACATGCTCTGTGCAGGAACGGGAAACATCAACAAGGGATGGGTGAGCTACCACCAGCTATAGTTTTAGACAATGGCTCAGGCCTGCTCAAGGCTGGTGTGGCTGGAGATAAGGAACCACGCGTCATCTTCACCAACTTGATAGGCCGTGCCAAGGCCAAGTCTGTAATGCTCGGTGCTGGCCAGAAGGATTTCTACATTGGAGATGAAGCACAAGCCAAAAGAGGGATCCTCTCCCTCAGGTGCTTTAGCAAACACTGGGGAATCTGTAGGGGATAAGTAAGAGTTAGCTGGTCTGAAAATCATGTTGAAACTGTTTGCTTAGGGGAGGGAGTGATTGCAGAAAAAGGAATCCTAGAGGAATTAAAGGTTGAAATGATGATGTAAGAGAAGATGAATGTGCATGAACATAATTTTAGGCCAAGTCAATGACATATTTTGTGCCACAATGGAAAAGAGCTATTCTGTACAATAGAATGTCAATTTGATAGACTAATGCATTCTGTGATGATTGACAGTGAGTTCTGGCTTTGATCCATGTAATTGGATATTAACTCCATAACTGGCAGTAATTGGCAGTCTTTCATATTGATCATGCTGGTTGGACCTACTACTGTTTGGAATTCAATGTCTGGAAAGATATATGTTGTCCATTCAAGTGCTATTAAAAGGAAATAGAAGTACCTTTACTGGTTTTTGGAGGGCAATGAAAGCTATCAGATTCTTCTC